CAGTCAAAATGGTTCAGACTCGAACGTTCACGCGTGTTTGTGCACGTACATACGGGTGGGGCGATGTGTGTATGTATCTGTCTGAGGCGTTTTATGAACATGCGGTTATCAGGACTAGCAATACCATATTACAACGCTGGTTAGTTATCAAATACATCAGTCTCCATCGCCGTTATGGTCCCGGCTACGCACAGCTGTAGAAACACACACACAACCGGATAGAGAGATGGACAGACAAACGGATAGCAGATAATGATGAACATGGCAGACACTAAACTGGTGGAAAATAATACCCATAAATCGTGAGCGATGCCGCAGATGAATCTGGCCCGTTAATAGAGTGCAGTAAACTTTTTGTTGGTGCACAACAAAACACAGAGTCACACACACACACACGAACATATGTATCTGGAAGCGGAAAGTTGCTCAGAATCGCAACTAAAAAACTCGAGTTAATTCGCAACACGACAGTAAGTGCCACATGTCTGACTTCTGCGAGCGATATCTTCCACAATATATACATCAACCAAATAAAAAATACAATTACACAATTTTACTGAATGAGTGAGCATAAAATTACATAGACGATAATCAAAACAAATTGTAATTCGGAGCGCGTCCTTCCTATTGTGAACAAATACGCTCTCACACGTGTGTGAATACACTCATTCGTTCTATGCGGCACCCGACTTTTTTTAGCCCACTAAATAACGCAAGTGTGAATAATTATTTTTGTGGCACACACGTGTCACAACACGCGTAGAACATTTGCTATCCGAACTGTGGGCAACCGGGCGGTGGGGGTGGGTGGAGTCGACATGAAGGGACAGATTCTTGTATCTGACACAAACGTGCTACGTACCAAAGCGATCAGATTCACAAACGTTCATCAGAACTCAGTGCACACTGATGGTAGCGTTTGTGACATATCAATTTATATCTTATTTAACTGACAACCCTCGCGGTTGCTTGATCAACCAAATCCGCACACATACAAACACTGTGAAAGCAGAAACAACAAATCAGCTACGTGCCGACTTACATTCAGGCAGTGCGTGATTTTCAATTTTGAGCCTCTGAACGCCCCCCTCGTTAGAGGTTAACTGGATTGGGACGGGTAGTTTACTTGCCACTACCGGACCGTATTTTCCAGACACTGACTTAACATCAGGTCCCCGTCGCCGTTGTGCGACAGTGAACA